AAAATAACAATGTCCACAACCAACCCAAGCAACATCACAATGCCAAAGAAAAGCCCATCGATATCACAGAACACGTTAAACAATTAGAGAATAGGGTCAGAGAATGGTTCAGCCAGCAAACTTGAAGTAAATTGTTAGCATTAAGTCCAGAAAGACTTGTGGTCCAAACAAATCCTTATGGAACAAAATACGGAAGAAATCGCCTACTTTTAACCTGATAAGAGGGCAAAGGTTATTTCTAAAAGTCTCTCTCAAAGGTTAAGCGAAGTGTTGGACAAGATCATCTCCGTTCATCGGAGTGCTTCCATTAAACAGATTTTGGATGCATCCCTCATTGCTAATACGGTGGTGGAAGAAATTAAGAAGTCTAGCTGAAGTTTTAGTTTTAAAATTGGACTTTGAGAAGGCCTACAATTGGGTAATTGGGTTTTTCTTGACAAAGTTCCAGATCATAAGGGTCTTAGTATTAGACGGGGATGCAGGACCTCGAGTTCTCTATCTTCTATCTTTCACTTTCTTGTGAATGGTAAGGCTAAAGAGCAGCTTAGGGGTCAGAAGGGGCTGTGATTAGGGTGTTTTGAAATAAAAGGGATGTCATAGAATTAGTGGTTGCTACATGGTTATCGAAATCATGGAGATCATTACAGAAATGTCATAGAATCTAAAGTTTCCCAGACCACTTAGCAAAAAAAGCCATCTAAGTTAAAGCATTCTTCTCCAACATGTGCTTCAAAGAAAAACTACTTGGATATAAAGTTTTCACGAAAACAAACTATCTTCCATGAGGTTCCACATTGACTGATCCTCTTGATCAGGGTTTTGAGTACAAGAAGGCAACAGGGCAATCATTTAACTAATCTCTCGCAATAGAATGTTCCTCGACCAATCCTTAACATGATATCATAATAGAGATCGTGAGCTTTTATTTGATAAATAAATAAATATTATTAAGAAGAGAGTGAAATAAGTGCAGGTGCAGAGAATAAAACATCCTCCTTAATCTTCCATTAGAAAATTCAAAATAGAAAAAGATAAAAAGATAAAATAAAGATATTGGAAACATAACCCTAAAGATTACATAATTGTAGCATTCCAGCTCCTGTGGAGCACAGATAGAGCAATATAAAAAAAATTTCCATGCTTTGGTCCATCAAGTAGCCAGAAATTGTGAGCTCAAACCATGAAACTTCACCATTTTGATTCACCTACTTATTGCCCATAATTGGACCTTTGTGCAAATGCTAGTTAACTGGTGTGATTTTGCATTTTGGTTGAAATCATTGCTCAGGTTGCCCACTAGAGGTCATGTGAAGAAACAAAATATTAAAAATTTGGCCATCTCATATTAACATAGCTTTTGAATGATGGGCTACCAAACTAATTCTTTACAATTAATTTCTACATAAAAGTCTAGCATGTTTCCTAAAATTTCATAGCAAGAACACACTCCTCAGTTTAGTTGAAGTAGAATGTTATGTGCTTTCAACTAATTAGTTTTATGTTGTATTGATTACAGTGAGAGATTAGTTACCCTTCTAACGAGCTTTAAGTAAGAAATCTCTAAGGAACAGACTGATAGGTGACAACACAAAGACTTTAAGTAAGAAATCTCTAAGGAACAGACTGATAAGTGACAACGCAAAGAATCATACTTCATTATTTCAAGAAGATCACCATATGCACGAACACAATGAACTGATGCTGGCCTTTTCAAAGTTTTCGCAAGTTCAAGCTGCTGCTGAAATACTTCAACCTGGAATTGAAACACTTTATGTAGGGGAAAAGTAGAGGTAACACAAACTACAGTATAAAAAACTTCGCGAGGTGAAAATTTTGCAGGGAGACTGGGGGAAGTTGTACAAAAAGCCTACGTGGAGTCCCAGAATTCATAGCAGCAAGATAGAAACAAACATAAAATATAAAAGAAAGGTTCCTCAACCTACTTGATATCTTAGCAAACTATGTACGAACAAACATAAAGATCACATGACTGGGAGAAAAAACATAGAATAAAAAGCAAAAAATTTTAAGCTTCCTTTCTTAAACAAAAAAAAAAAAAGACACCTTTTCACTAAATCAACAGAATAGCATTACAGGCCTAGGGCCATCCATAAGAATCTAACAGCAAGGATCAAGGAGGTAGGAAATTTCAAAAAAGTGCTTCATCAGCCATCAAGCAATACAATTATAACGTAGAAGCTTGATTATGAGCCAAAGCGCATAATTCTTTTTGAGACATCTTTGTCCGTGCTATGCAGGAATTGGGAGGCAATTCGCTGGTGGTTTTCTTGTTTCTTCTGTTTTCTTTTCCTCTGCTTTTTTGGAAGTTTTTTGAGGATATCTCGTACTCATTTTTGTATCTCTTCTCTCTCTAATTATTGACAATAACATGGCTTTGATTATTTAATATAAGGAGATGCATTATTAGGTAGAGTAGAAACTATTACAAAAGGAAGGATAAGAATCCTCCTGCATCCTTAAATGCAGAGAAAACAAAAGAACAAAAAAAGATAAGCAAAATCAAGACAAAATACCAGTTCCTGAAAAACACCATAAGCCTTAACCCAAAGAGACACCAAAAGAACTAATCTTTCCTGCTGCAAGAAACGTAACTGGAGTCAATCTTGAAGAGACTGATGTTTCTCTTCAGTTTCTATAATCTAGCAAAAATAGTCCCTCTGTATAACCTTTTCTGATCCCTGCTCCTCTCAAAATCACACAGAGAGGACGAAATGAAGACTTCACAAAAGGGGCATAAACCCAACTTGGTCTAAAAATGTGGGAATCCATGGATTTGATCTAGGACTGTTTTTGTTCTTTTCTTTTGGGAGGGAGGGCAATAGATAGTTAGGAATCAGAGAACTATAACTGAATATTGAGCATAAACTCCCTTCAAATAAGTCCAACTAATTTCACAACATCTGTGAGAAAAGACATGATTATGATGATTTCTTTTTTACAATCTGCATGCATAATAAACTAAACCTACCAAATAAGTCTGATGGAGTCAAAAATAAAACTCTCTAAGCATACTGAAATTATGTAGTTAATTACTTATGAAGCTTCCAAATGGAAGCTGAAAATGCAAAGTGGCAAATACCGATCTAGAAACAAAAAGTTCAGACATAAACCTGATCCACAAAGTTAATCTTCTTTCCTTGTGAACCTTTGTCTAAACCAATCTGAATAAAGCATGACCATGTCAAGGATTAGCACATAAACAAGATAACTAGCATGCACCTATTCAAAAGTCTCATGCATCAAGAAAGAAACCCAAAAAAAAGAACAAAAAAATCAGTTACAATGTCATGGAACCATAATATGTCATTTTGGTATTATCGCGAAATCACATATCTAGTCCATAACAAAAAAGAACAAGATCACTTCAGCTTGCAAACAAGAGATTATCTGAAAATTCATTCATTATCAGTATATTTTGGCCTAAAGGGATTAAATGCATAAGTACAATTTGTCACTACTTGGCTATTTACAATTTAGGGGTATAAATTATCTGGTGAAAACCAAGAAACTGAACCAACCAGGCTAATTTGTAATGGTTCAATTTGGTCTGAATATTAAAACCAACGATCTGGTTTACAAACAAACTAAACCAAAAAATTGACTTTTCATTTGTATGAGTTATTAAATATTTAATACATATATAAGAAAAAATTATATATTTTATAAATAAGTATACATTATATTAAAAATATTTGGTACATTTGATTTTCACAACAATTTGTATCATTCATGTGATTAAAAATAAATAGTTAATTAAAAATAAAAATAAAAAGGTAAAAAAAATTTATTACATTAATAAAATTCAAAGTATCATGGTTCAGTAAACTGAATATTGCTCTGGTATTTAGTTTAATGTATAACCAAATTCACTTCGCTTTGGATTCTAAAACATTTAGAAACAAAACATTTCAGTTTAAGTTGGACTTGTCCTCCCAACACAACTTAACAATCCTTAAAAAAAAAAGAAAAGAAAATGAACAATAAACACTAACACAGATGCAGTGCCCATTAAAATACAAGGATAGAGCAGTCAAGAAAAAGAAAGAAAGAAAACAGCCATGAAAAAATGACTGACCTCTCCAACTGCAGCAGAGGGAGTATTCTCAAAAAACTCCTTCAGCGTGTCGAACCACTGAGAACTCCTCTCAGCTACATACCTGAAAACAATTTAAAAGAAAAAAAAAAGATAACAATCATAAACTCATTAATCCCAAAAGACTTGCGGCATAAATACCAAGGATGAAGCCCAAAGCAAGGGACAACAGAAGGATAGCGCTCGCCCATTTCTTTAACCAAATGCCAGTCTTTCTGCAACCAACAACAAAGAAAACAACAAGAAAATTCAAAATTCTGCAAAAAAGAACACATGCAAAGTTTATAAGCCGCAATTCTTTTACAACTTTTTATGCCGCAATTCTTTAATCAAAAACAACATTCAAGATTCTGCACACCAGCGTGATCGATATCCAAAAGAATTCATGTAATTTACCTCTGAGAGACCATTGACGGCAAAATGAACCACGCCGGAATCAACGGCGGTGGAGATCAGCTTCGGAGCTTTGTCGATTATTTGCGGGTCCTGAAGATGACAGTGCACATCGAAAAGTTTCATGGCGACCAATCGGCCTACCGCTTTGAATGCCACTCTGTTTCTTCTTGTATTGAAAATTGTGACTTTGGGAATTGAATTCAGGGAGCTGAACTGTGAGAAGAAGCACCATATATAAGTGCAGAAAGAAGAAGGATACACATGGACCACGGCATCGGTAATACTAAACTGGGCCAAACTCGACCCGGGCCCGATTCATCTTCCTTCTGAATTGATAAAAATAATATTAAATTAATTAATCACTTTACTTTATATTATTATATTATAGTTAAGTTTTTTAATTTCTAAAAATATATAAATTATTTACTCTTCATTTTATATTTTATCTTATTTGTCTTCTCATGTTGATTAAAATTAACTTATTATGTTATTTATTATTAATTATTTATTGTCTAATTATATATATTTAATTTTTACTTTATTATAAATTATGAAATTATATGCTATATGAATTTTTATCACCTATTTCTCTACATATTTTATGCGTTCTGTAAATTTTTTATTAAATTTTAAGGTATGATAGTTTTTTTTTACATGTTTGTTACAATTTTTTTTACTTTTGTATAATTTTTATTCACATAAAATAATACTCATATTAATTTTTATATGATTATATAAATTATATTATATGTGTAGCACATAATACAAAATTAATATATGTATTTTTAAAAATGCATTCAATATATATTTATGGTGATATTTTAGATAATTATTTTATTAAAAAATCATTAAAAATAATAATAGGAAAAAAAAAAGGAAAATAAGAAAAATGGGTTCAAATAGATTCTACATTGGTAGCTTTAGGGTTTTAAATTTAAAATATTATATTTAAATATTAACAATTAAATTAATTATAACATGAGTTCAAATAAAAAAATGAGTTTTTATATAATTTTATTTATAAATATTGATTATAATATTTTCTAAATAAAAATTGACGATTCAATACCATGTTAACAGAATTTGCCATGTTAGTCATCATATATAAAAAAGTTAATAGAGTTAAAATTTTTGATTACAGATTGATTATATTAGAATTCAATTTAAAATTTCAAGACTTAATTGAACTAAACTAAACATATTTGAATTTTAAATTTTAAAATAGTATAAATATATTTTTTAATTAGTTTGATATAAAAGCTTAAACCCCTATTAGAGATTACGAGTATATAACTCAATAGTAGTCAAATAAATACTACTAAAATTTATAATTTAGTATAAATAAATAAAATTTAGGGTTACATTTTTTACACAGTTTACTTAAAATGTCCAATAGGATGACAGAAATGTTTTTAAAATTTAGATGAGAAAAATATAAGAGAAAACAAATATGATTAACCTCTACTCGAAATTGACAAAACGAAAGAGGCAATCTCTTAATTAGTTTCTTATTATTCAGGATATATATTTTGGTCGTCCAGATCTGAAATAGTTAATAATAAAATGGTAAGTTACATTAGTTTAGTAAGAATATCAACATTTTACTACTTATACGAAAAATCAAAGAGTTATAAAAAATATAAAACAACCAAATGTATAACGACTTGAACCTGCATTCAGAGGTCTAGTCACACATAAATAAATGATGACAAGTAATTTTAAGAAACATATCACGCAACTATATTTAAAAGTTAAAAGTGCATCCCTTACATGACTTAGTGTCAAAAAAATTTCCAGTATTCGTGAGGCATGTATAAGTCTTAAAAAATAAAAACTTACTGCAAAGAAAGGAAACAACCTTAAGTAAAGTTCAAATCATAGCAAAATAAAAAAAGAGAAATCTCCTAGCAATCATCTCACTACTCGGGAGTAGGGTCCTAACCGTCCTAGTATGAATAATATGGATAATGAATTGGATGCGCTATACTACCTCTATAAGGATTCATAAACCAAACAATGTAGCAATTTACCAAAGTATTATAGAAAAATAGTAAAACACTTATGGATATATTTTATAAAATTCATTTGATTATTTGAAAACCTCTCATGAATTATCATTCATAATGCCATGAAGACACATTAAATACCTGTACAAACAACTTGTATTCTCATGCGCAAACATTGTTGTACCATATCAAATATACTATCAAATTAATTGATGAATCAAATTAATTTTACCTTTATCTTTCGCTTGATATTCAGGGTCATTCATATATTCAATTTTTCATTTTACACATTAAAGGGTCTCCACTACTCGTAGATACTCAAAAACTTTTATGAAATAAATGATAAATCGTTGACCGTACTCATACCACAACCCATACGAGCATAATGATTATCGGCCACCTCACACCCCAACCCATGTGGGTGTCATAAACACTGGTCATTCTCATACCCCAACCCATATGAGGGCCATAGCTAACTAGCTGCCACCATACCCCAACTTATATGGGTGCCGCTATTATTTTATATTGACAGTGGGTTTTGCTCCACAACCAAAACATAGCCACCACAAAATCAAGGTAAAATCATCCCAAACACATAGTTATGTATTATATACTTTCCCTAACTTTTCATCACACGTTTCTCATTTAACAAATATACGAAAATTCACACCTTGTCATTCAATCATTGATAACTCCAGCTACTCGTCATATACACTGATATTAACATCCAACAATATATGGTATAAATACACACTTATGCGCATAACCCGCAAAACTCGTAGAGATTCTTGCACATCAACCCCATCATCATATGCCTCATAATCAAAATATATATCGCTTATATATATCATATGTATCGTCACATACATCAACATACCATGAATGAAAATATAAAAATTATTATACATCAACTTATCAACATATGCACCCAAATCGAATATATAAATATATATGTATATATTTATATATTTTTATACACCGTCACATATATAAACACATCATGTACGGAAAATATGCATAAATAGATTACAGAACATGATGGAATTGCTTCGTTGGCACTGATTTATTATTATTATAATTATCTTTTTCATTCTTATTATATTTTTTCTTTTTTTTCAAACAATATATCTTATTTAAAATTCAATAAATGATTATAGGAATGGGTTCAGGATTCTTACCGGAATTAGAGACTCGAGGCGTCGCGACTCGGCTTCCCATCCCTAAGCTTTATGGTTTTTTTTTTGTTTTCTTTCCTCTTTTTTTTTTATTCTGCACAACAAGACTTTCAAAATGCTAATCGAAAGAAAAAAAAAAGGGTGAAATGAGGAGAAGAGGCGGCCTACCGGAGTCGCTTTGGGTTCCTAGCCATCGATGTGGTTGTTCCGCTTTCAAGCTCAAACTCTTAGCTGAAATCGTTGATGGATGTTAAAAAAGGGCAATGAAAAAGGAAAGATAGAGGGAAAAAAAGAAAAAATAATTTATCAGGGGTCGGTTGCGGGTTCTGGAGTGGTGGCATCGTCGTGCTACGCCACCTGTAGCCTCCTCTAGTGTCTGCTTCTTTCTTCTCCGGTATACCCTGTCGGTTAGGGTTTTTGGAGCCGACAAAGGTGAAGCTTAAATATACCCCTTAATAGATCTGCATCATCCACACAGCGAAAGGAGAGTTGTTCGTTCGCGAGTACACGGATCGTCAACGTGTCATCCATGTTGCGTCACTTGCTGGTGTGGCATCCACATGGCACAATCTTACTCGTCGCACCGATGAATCAGCGATCCTATGTGACCCTTTTTTCAAAAATTATAAATTGGCCCCTAGTCTCCTAACAATCTTTCAGTTGAGTCTATTTTTACTTCAAAAGGGCCCTAACTTTGATATTTTATTTTAAAAAGGTCCCCAAATCAATTATTTCAATTATTTTTTGCATTTTGGTAGATTTTGATCTTAATTTAACATATTCACACTTTTTTAATTTACAAAATAAATAAGTGTGCTTCATCCTTTATTACACGGTGAATTTAAATATTTTTATTTATTTATTTAGTTAAAAAAACCTCAGATATTACAAATAGAGTCCATTCTTAATAAAACTCGAATGCTACTGTATTCATTATTCATTTCACTAAAAGCGTTAATATTTTTTCATCTTACCTGTAAATTCTTAAATGTCATTTATTAATGTAAGAATCAGAATAGCAATCTCCAATACTCATTCTAAGAGACATATAACAATTAACTCTATACTATTTTCTAAAATTAGATTCCTTACCATAATCATCCCTATCATTTTACTTTTCCTACCGATGTCGCTGGGGGTCCATCGGGATCTTCACTATACGTGGACATGAATATTCTTTCTATAATCAAACGATTATCTTCATATCTTGTCCGGTAATAAGTGCCAAAATACACAACTGCCTCAATACCTCTTTTGATATGAGCATAATTAAAACAATTCCCAACCCTAACCGGTATGGGACTTCTCAGCTCCGTACGACTTAGGGTAACGTCCATGGTAGGGTTCACCCTATGCACCAAGTTCGTACACTCTTTCCCAAGACACCTGATAAGTCACTTTCTATAAAGGCCTGGAACCTTATAAGAAAAGAATTTATAATTTAAATGCGAAAGCAAATAATAATGTTAGGGTTTACATTCCTTACACAATAAATTGAATTGTCTAATATGGCTACAGGAATGTCTCTTCTACGTGGTTCATAAAAAACAAACAATAATTAAAGAAAAACGAATAAATAAGTATCTTAGGATAACCTTTACTAGAACTTGAAGGGAATCCAGGAGGTAGACTACTCACAACCCTCTTACTGATCGATATCTGGATCTTGATCTTTTTTATTTGTGATAGTTAATGAAAGTGTGAACTATACTAGCTCAGTAAGAATATCACACTAATTATTAATACGAAAAATCGAATATTGGTAAAAATCAGAAAATAACAAATGGAACCCTTACTTTAAGTAAATATATTTATATTTAAAACTTTTTATTCGATATTCATTATTACGAGTTTTTTCAAAATCAACCTATGAAGATAATTAACCAAATGAAATTTTAATTTCATGCATAAGATCAGCAATCTTTCATTTTTAACCTACTTATTAGGACTTCTGGAGGTTCATAGGGATATCCCTCTACTCGTAGACCCAGTATCAAAATTTGACAATTGACCCA